TTTCTCACCACCCCAGAAGGAAAAAAAAAAAAAAAAAAAAAAACAAAAAAAAAAAAACCACAACCAAAAAACCCCCACAAAAGTCGTTAGGTCCTACTGCACTTCAACACAGACACCTGAGGGCTTGGAAGCACACAGTAGGCAACCTATCACAGCACCTCAAATGCCTCAAAAAGCAGTTTACCCCTCAAGCTTTTAATGTAACACCCTTTTCTACATCTCCATGCTCACCTGCAAGAGCATCTGATGCCCCCAGAAACTGAGGTCCAGAGAGACACATGATTTCAATCCAAATTATAAAAGCCAGAAATAAAAAGCAAACATGCTAGTATTTATAGCTCCTTATTCTCCAGCTATGGAAGCCATAAACAACTGCATATTTGAGATGCAATTCCAGAACAGCTTTGGATCCAACTCAAGAAATCCCCCACTCAAAAATAACACAAGTGGATGGTGACAGTAGTGGATATATCTGTGAGCTGGTGTGTCAACCAAGGACATGCAGAGACACTGCCAGGTCATTTTTGGAACTGTTCCTTGGGAGGTGCATGGTCATCCAAGCAAGCTCACACAGCACTGCCTTGGCCCATCCCCAGAGCCTGCCTTCCCAAAGCACTTCAGCAGGAGACCGACAAAAATAGAGTCCAGGAGACTGAGGTCCAGTCTTCCCAATGGGGCTGACTCAAACCAGGTTGTGGTAGGAATTGTCCAACCATTCCTATTGCTTACCTGGCAAAAGAGCAGCAGGAACCTTTCTGTCACTGGAAGGAATGTACTTACCAGGACACTGTAAAGAGTAGTCAAGGTTGAGAAAGCAAATTGTGGAGGGTTCCCCCCTCCTTGTTTTCTCCCCAAAGTTAGACCATATCCTCTGGCACCCCAGAAAAGCCTTCAGCATTGCAAACCTCACTGGGAGTGGTGGGAGAAGTCCTTACTTAAATGACCCAATAAAAACTCATGGGCATGCAGACCACCAAACTCCTTTGGATAGAAGATGCCTTCTAAGCAGCTTTCATCTTTTGAAGGCTAGTTGAGCATTTTCCAGGTTGCACCCTAGGTCAGACTGCCCACATGCCTGTCAAGGGATGTTGATGCTAGAGACAGATGCTCCCAAGACTCCATTCTCTGGACAGTGGTGGCAAGAGGCCAGTTCTACAGTTTGTGCTATGAAATGGAGGGGTACCAGTTTGCTAACAGAAAGTCCTTGATAGAATATGGTGTGTAAACCCTCCTCTGAGACACTGCAATTAGCAGCAAACAGCCTGGCTATGGTCCAGTTTAGCAGACAGCCCAGATCAAACCAGGAGGCCTTCAAGTAGGTTGTAGAAGGACTGAATTCAGAGTGGTTGTGAAATCTGAACAGAAAGTCGGTGCCAAGCAACCACAGCACATGCCATGTTTGATGGAAAGACAGAAGGAATGGTTCAGTTGCCAGATTTTCCGCCCTCTATGAATCTCCCCATCAGCTTCGGCTCTACTCCTCCCATTCCCCATCACTCAAAGCTTCACAGATACCCAGTGCCCATCAGCACGGGCATCATCTCGCCAACAGCCAGCTTCCAAGCAAGTCCATGTGACATTTGGCTCTGGCCAGATTTAAAGCCATCTCCGCCATGCACTATTTGATTGCACCAAGATATTTTGTAACAAGATAATGAGCTTTAAATCAATGCAGGCATTCTAACCCCCGGTGCATTGACAGCCTGCCATCCGCAGCTATCCCATTTCAGACATTTCCAAAATTGTTTGTGAGTATCCAAAGAGGATAACAAGTCCCTTAAACAATCCCCTGTTATTTTAAGAAACAGGCTGCATCAGCCCAAGTTGCAAACCAGCAGCCAGGCCGTTCTGGTGACCAAGTGTAAAAATGGAGGAAGAAAGTTAAGTAAAACGGGAGGAGGGAGGGCCTTCCCTTCTCCCCATCCCCCTTTTCTCCTTTAAGCTGCAATGGTCCTGAAGGAGAGGAAGAAAGCCCACACCAGCATATTTGGATAACTGTGTCTTAGTGGGTGATACATGTGTGCCTTTGCCCCGGGGTATCACTTGCTGCAATGCTGAACCAGGAACCAGCAGCTCCCCGAGAGGAGGAGAAAGATTTACAGGGTAGTGTGTTATGCTGCACGAACAACATCTGAAGGATTTACAGCATCAGTGGATGGCAGAGATGTTGCAGGGGCATAAAACATGGAAGAATGAGACAGGAAGCAGAACCTTGCAGCCCTCAGCTGTATTTATTACACGGGGTCCTGACAAGGGAGGGGGGTTCTCAATGGCGTTTTGAGGCAGGTCACAATCAGGCTGCTTTGAAATACCCCTTGCCAAGGGCTGCCCACAGGGGCAGACACGTCTGAAGGAACAAGCTGTGGCCTCCAGGTGTCAGCATGAGAAAGTGCTTGGCTTTCCTAAAGCGACACTAATCCAGGGACTCCTCTGGCATGCGGGGTTATTTTAAATGTCTTGCAGCTCTGGCTGGACCTCTTGGGTTTCATAAGGACTTTCCTTGTTTCCACTGCAATCAGTGACAGTGCATTAGTTAAGCCCTAGCACTTCTGAATTACTCCTCCTCGCTAATTAGCAAGGGAGGGAGGGCACCTTGTAAATATCTGCTCTTATCTTTGAGCACATCAGACCCTGGATTTCTAGGTCCAGGTCCATTATGGACTTTCTGAAAGTCACTAAAGCCCTCAAGACTCATGTAAACTATCTGTAAAATGGTCCAGCTGCACCATTAGCTGGACTCCAGAAATAAGAACTGGATTTTACTGGGATGGTGCAGGAAAACAGACTCTGAGATAGCACAAAGGAAGGAGATAAAAATACCACCTAGTCCTCCAATACTCTCTCAGCTGCTGGTTATCTCCACCTGAGCTGCTGGGAACAGTTCTGGGAATTACCCACCACTCACATACAGGGGTCATTTTGCTGGCTAGAGAAGTAACAGGACCCAAACATTTGCATATTTTGCCCTGCATTATGATAGGAGTCCCCTTGCCCCCACTAACAGGGCAGCACAGAACTGTCCATTTTGCTTTATTCACCTTAAGGCATTTTCTCAACTTCTTTCCTGAAAGGATGACAGAATAAATAGCGGGGGAGGGAGGGGAAAGACAGGACAGCTTTGGGAACTTCAACACCTTCCCCTGCAGCAACAGCTCAACTTCCATCAGAAGCGAGAAGCAACTGTAGTTACTGGCAGTGGACACATGCATGCATGAACATTTCCAGCCTCTAAGGAAAGGAGCCATGGGAAGCAGACAGAGGCTGCTTAAGTAACACAAGCATATACAATACTACCATATAGCATATCCTTTGCTTGCTGTGAATTCTCATGGATGACCTGAGTTTGACTTAGCGGTTACCTTCTACAAGTTCTAGGGGAGGTGGTGACCCACCACTGGCAGAGGATGCACCAGGATGACCACCCTGCAAAGTGCCAGGGAAGCCAATGTGTACAGGAGGTTCCAGCACCCTCATTCAAGACCCGCCCACACCCTACTCACCTCGTTTTAGCAAGCTGGCCCGGTAGCGACCCTCAAGGGTGCAGTTCCAGCGCTCGAAGCGAAACTGGTACTGGCACTCCAGTGCACTCATGCTGATCGCCTCCATCAAGGTCTCAGCCACGCCAGGGTCCCGCCGGCACATCCTGCGCTGCTTCTTCTCCAGCTTCAGGCGGTCACAGACTTTGTAGTGGGCTTTGACTGCAGCTTCCTCCATTTCTGAGGTCAGAGGGAGGATGGTCAGGGGTTCGTTCCCTGTCAGCCTGTAGAGGAAGAGAGAGGCACAGCAGTGAGGATAGAGAAAACACAGCCTGTGATAGAAGTAGGAGCCATGGTGGTCTCTCTCTGGCTGAGAAACCATGTGGGCTTGCTGATGTCTAGCCAAGACTCTCTGCAGTGCATGTGCGAGGTGGGAGCAAGAGAAGGGTAAGAAGCAATATTTGGATTTATATTCTCTAACAGCTCTCACTGCTTGTTTGGGCACAAGTCCTTGGCAATCTCCACCCAAGGACTACATTGGAAACTGAAATGGGAAAGAAATAATTGAAGGGACCTAACTGCATGAACTTTGGAAACTAGCAAAAAACCCCACAAAAACCAAGAGCACTACAGTCACTCTCCTGTGCACAAACAAAAAAACAAGAAAAAAAAACAAAAAAAAAAAAAAAGCACATCAAGTAGAGCTAGAACTGGCTTGTGAAGGTATAGAGGATGATTGGTCCCACCAGACCAAGAGACACACCAAGAAAGCATGTACAGCACCTTGCCTTCAGCAAACGAGGTCCTGACATAAAACTTAGTGAGCCACAGCCCGAGGCTTGAGAGCAGAATATACTTTCCTGGAGAATCTGCCAAAAGCTTCTGCAAGGCAGAATTAGCCCAAAACCCTAAAACATGACCTGAAGAAATTTGTGTCGCATTGCCTTCTCCCCTCCTCTGCCTTCCCCAAACACAAGGTCCTTGACTCATACAATGTGCAACAAAAGAAGCCAGCATACTGTTCCCAGTATCAAGTGATGAGCTGCTGGAAGAGGACCAGCCTGGCATCAGCCCCAGGGAGCAGAGAGGCTTCAGGAACATCTGCTGGGCTCATGAGCTGTTTGTTAGCCAGGCTGCCCACACCCTGCACTCCTGGCTCTGCCCTTTTCTGGCCAGGTGCCAGTCCACACAATCAATGGGAATCACTATGCAGGGTTTTGAAGGACCTGAAGACACATTTCCCCAGCCAAAAAGGAAGAATTGCTTAAAGCCTGAACTGAAAACGTGCTGTAATGCTGCAATCCTGCACAGGCGAGCATGCGGATGGGTTGCAGGCTCAGACATCTGCATTGATGCAGGACCACTGAGGAAAATGGGGTGATGGAAGGAGAGGAGCACAGCACACACTCACCCCTTCAGAGAAATCCTGGAAAGCCTTTAACCCACCACCCCCAGCAGCAGTCTGTGCTTTGCTTTTTTAATGATGATTTCTTTCTTTCCTCCTGTTCCTACCTGCTCTTGTCAAAAGCCCCACTCCAGCTTTCTTGTCAGCACCTTTAAGCATTGGAAGCTGTCTCTTCAACCTTCTCCAGGTTGAAGCAGCCCAACTCTTTCAGTCTGTCTCCACAGGAGAGACCAAAAAGATAGGCAGGGAAATGTTCTCCTTCAGTGACCTTCAAGTAATTTCTGGAAATCATAATTTCCAGAAAAACTGCAATGGTAAAAATGAAGAGTCAGTGATTTGTGGGGAATATGGAAAACTAGTGTTACCCAGTGACAATTTCCCCAAAAAATATTTTTTTCCCCCAAATTCCGCTCACCAAAACAATTATAAAAATACCCAAAAGGCCAAACAACAAGCTCCATCTGAAGCACTGACAAGTTTTATACCCTTATATTTTTGCTCCATTTCAACTGGGACAGAGTGTGGACTTGGTCACAACTGCTTCCCAAGGAGACGGGACACCATCCAGCCCTGGCATCATGTTAACCAAAGCTCCAAGCAGGCTTGTTCATGGGAAAGGTGGCCTGGTCTGAGCTTCACAGTAGTAAATAACTGAAAATCTCCAGAACATTCATTCTTGCCCTTCATCAATAAATCTGCTCTGGAGATTCATTTCTGCAAGCTTTCACAGTTGGTACAAACTATCCTCAGATGGCAAAGAGAGAAGGAGGCATAGAAGCATTCTCTAAAGCTCCCCCTCCCCAGTTTACCTTTCCAACTAAGCAGGTACTGTTCAGCTAAGTGTTCTGGAAAGCATAAGCTCCAAGTCTATCACAGTGAGGAGGGATATAGGAATGGATCCTTTAGAAAGATCTCTGCAGAGCAATTGGTGATTTTGAACCCCTTCCCCACCTTCCTCCTTAGGTGCTTGGCATTGAAATACTTCAAAGCATGGCTTAAGCATAGAATGGTTTGTGTTGGAAAGGACCTTAAGATCATGTAGTTCCAATCCCCCTGCCATGGCAGGGTACAGAACTGTATACAGTACTCCAAGTGAGGTCTCACAAGAGCAGAGTATAGGGTCAGGATCACCTCCTTTGACCTGCTGGTCACACTTTTGGTGCAGCCCAGGATATGGCTGGTTTCTGGGCTACAAGCACACACTGAAGCCAGCTCATGTTCAGTTTCTCAACAACCAACACCCCCAAATCCTTCTCCACAGGGCTGCTCTGAATCTCTTCCACACTCAACCTGTAGCTGTGCCTGGGGTTGCCTTGACCCAGGTGTAGGACCTTGCTTCCCACAGCTCAGCCCTGCAAAACTTGCTGATAGCACAGCCCAATTGCATGCATCTCCAATAAAAGACAGCTAAATACAAACAAAATAAAGAGTGAGGGATAGGGAGAAGAAAGAAAATAGAATTTGTAGTGCTGCACAATACCAGAGGACTGGCCTCCAACAGTCACTTTGAATGGTTGGAAAGCCCTGGGAAAACAACAGAAAATTGAAGCATTAAAATGACTAATTGTCAGCAATGTACATTTTCACTGCTTTTTGCAAAAGGTTGTGGTAGAAGCTCACCTAATATCTGAGGCACATTGATAACAGCCACAGTGAGCCAAGAAGCTGGACCAGCATGCAGACACCCATTTCATCCCTTCCTGAAAAACACACCCAAAGACAAGACACCAAGATGATGCCCTGTAAAAGCAGAATACACCTTTTCCCACCTCTGTTTCCTGACTCAGCTCTGCCCAGTCCTCATCCATCAGAGAAAGGTGACATGAAAGTCCAAATTGGTGAAAAACAATGCATATGCAGTGCACATGCTGAACAGACCCATCATCACTGCCTGGCTTATTACTCAGGCTAGTTTTCACTGGCTTTCAAGTTGGTCTGAATCAGAGCAAGGCAACTCTATTAGGAAAGCATCTCCAGAATGGTATGAGGAGTAAATTTAGAGGAAAGGGGCTTTTACTAGCCAGCAAGCAATGAAGGTCTTCCAGGCTAAGACCTCCATGAGCAAAAGCAGCACATGTGCACGCACACCCATACATTTCCCTCCTCAGCATGGGATGGATGCCCATTTCAGTAGCAGGGGGACCAACACAGCACCCTCAGCTCTGTAGACATGTTCCAGGGTTGAGGTGGCACTTTTCAGAGCATGGCACCAATAAACAAGTGCAAGCAGAGCCAGGGAGCGCCGGTGCCCCACCTGACACTCTGCCTTGGAGCTGCCACTGCATGGAACCTTTATAATCCTATAAAGCCCTTTTATGCAACCTAGGCTGAGTGAGGTCCTGTAAGGCAACGGTGTCAGTCCGATGCTTTCTCAGCACCTCACAAAGACCAAGCTGTTCTTTCCAAGGAAATTTTTCAGGAAGGGGGGGTGATTTTTATTTTATATTTTGTTCTTTATTTTATACGCACCCTATCCACAACTGTTAGGATTAAACTGCCAGCCAGCACTTTGCAATTGTGTTATTTTGGAGCCCCTGCCACTGCACAACTCACACCGATAGCTGAATAGCCAAGTTTTATCTGTAGCACCATGGAAAGATTGCTCTTCCAGAAAGGCAATTCAAACTGGATCCTGCTTTCAGCTCATCTCAGAAGTCAAGATATTTTATTGCCTCGTCAGCTCACACTTTCATCAGTGTCCCTGTATTTTCCCTTATTTAACTGGGGATTTTCCCAACGAGAATTTGAGGGGGATGAGACAGAAGTAAGGCGCCTGCATAGACCTGTGAGCACATTCTCATTTTTGACATGCTCAAGAGTTTCAAGTGCTGCCACAGATGCAAGCCAAGGTGAGCTGCTTTCCTGCAAGGAAATACCTCTGCTCTACCCGCCTGGAATGACAGGCCTGCTGAAATATTGCATTCCTATCCCAGCACTTCCTTCTCTGTTGGGAGATTTATCTCTGGTACATCTGTACAATGACCAAGTTGATTTCTATTTACCCTTCTAACATTGTTTTTTTCTGCAATATTGCTACTCTTCAAACCCTTTTTCTTGTCGTTCTACCACTTCTTCCCTTTCTTTGAATAATTAAAGTTACAAAAAGTTTACAACTTGAACACTAACCTTCACTGCAATATCTAAACTAATGACTCAAGTCAGCAAGTTATGCTGCATACCAGGCCAACGTGTTTTTTTGTATCCAAAAACCTTGAGTTGCCATTTCTCTTACAATCACTTTCCCACACTGTAAAGAAGTTTTTCCCCATCCCACAAAGGCTAATTGCTACTTGAAGTATAAGAAGCCGGAAGTCCAAAAAAATTCTGAATTCCAAGGTGAGTGATGTAAACTTGATATTTGAAGCAAGAGCTGGCCACTGAAGAATCAACTACCTCACTCTACACTACATTTGGGTTTTTAAGCATTCAGAGATACGAGTGCCACCATTGTGCTCTACATCCTTTGGAGCAAACCATATGAAGAACGCTCACCAACCTCAGCTCTGCTCCTCCCAGAGTTATCAAGATCATAGGAGTTGGAAAGGACCTTAAGTTTATCTAGTTCCAATTCCTCTGCCGTGGGCATGGATGCCTCACACTAGACCATGTTACCCAAGGATCCCCAATGTCATTTGGGATAAGAAGCAGCTTTCTTCTCTTTGCTACCAAATAATTAGTTCTCTGTTTTCTTTCTACCCCTTAAAGTCAGACCTAAGGATACTTGCTCCAAAATACAGTATGCAGGCATTCATGTTTATTGCTGCCTTGCTTAGACTACAAAATCCAGAGACACACATGCTAGTTTCTAAATTCTTTACCATTCTGAGCTACAAAGCCAAAGGTTTCCTACTTTGACTAATGCATACATGTGCAAAAAAA